GAGATCATGACCTGAGCCGAAGGCAGAGGCTTTAACCCACTGAGCCACCCAGGCATGCGCCCCCCCCATCTATCAACATTTTATTTATCAGCCTCAAATGTTAATTGGAAGTTGGTGGAAATCCAGTGCTATTTGAGGAGATTTGCTGTTTAGAATGGTAACCTGGTCCCTTTAGGACAATGTATTTATATTTGCTGCATAATAAACTATCCAGAACTGTGGCTTAAAACCACCACCATGGGGCGCCTGGGTGGCTCAGTGGGTTAAGCCGCTGCCTTCGGCTCAGGTCATGGTCTCAGAGTCCTGGGATTGAGCCCCGCATCGGGCTCTCTGCTCAGCAGGGAGCCTGCTTCCTCCTCTCTCTGCTTGCCTCTCTGCCTGCTTGTGATCTCTCTGTCAAATAAATAAATAAAATCTTAAAAAAAAAACCAAAAAAACACCACCACCATATGGTTTATTGTTGATTGACAGTTTGCGCTATGCTTGGCAAGGCTCCCTCGTGTCTGCCATGGGCTGGCTGCCAGTTTGTCTGGCCAGCACCTTCACTCAAGAGCTCCTCCTCCTACAGTCCAGATAAGGCCTATACCTGCCCTGCCAGAGCATTCCAGAAGATTAAGGGCCCCCCCCCCCACCCTGTGCAATTTTTCAGTCAAGTCCCTGTTTGTGTCCTCTTTGCCTGCACCCCATGGATGAGTGCAATCACATGGCTGGGCCCAGAGTGAAGGTAACCAGTCACACAGAAGGGGTGTGGGTCCAGGAAAGGGAAGAAATGGTGGCCATTTCTGGAGTCCCCACAGAACCAAATGAGAGGACACCTGGGTGGCTTAGTCAGTTAAATGTCTGCCTTCAGCTTGGGTCATGATCCCAGGGTTCTGGGGTCGAGTCCTGAGGGCGGGCTCCCTGCTCAGCAGGGAGTCTACCTCTCCCCCTTGCTCGTTCTCTCTTTCTCTCTCTCGTTCTCTCTTTCTCTCTCTTGCTCTCCCAAATAAGTAAAATCTTAAAAAAAAAAAACAGTCCAAATGAGAGAACAGCTTTATAGAGCTATAACTGATATCTAATGAATTGCACACACTTAAACAATTTAAGTTTTCACTTACCAAACAAGTTGGTACGTTTTTGCCTGTGTCCAGAGCTCACGGTGGAGGTTCTCATGCTCTCTGGTGGAACATGCAGAGATCTGAGCAGGCGCTTGTCTGAGGGGCCTTAGAGTTAATGTGGCGTACAGGCTTGGAAACAAAGTACGCTGAAATGGGAGAAAATTCGGTTCACCAGTGAGAAGCTGATCACCCCAGGAGACCAAAGCACATTCTTTTAGGAGACTGAAAGCCTTTGTACAGCTGCTAAGACCCCGGTAATAAGCAGCTTTTATCTGAAGGGCCTCAAAAACTATAAATCTGGCTAATTCTCTTAGCTTTTGTGTACTACTGGGGCAGAGTAAATCCTACAAGCTCGAATCACTGGCTTCATGTTTCTGTGCCTTGACGTCTTGATGTAGGCAAGTGGAAGCAGCACTTTCCAGCCAGGTTCTACCTGAGTCCCACCATTGCTTTGTGTTTTTAGAGACATTTGAGCCTTTATTAATGTGTTTTTAGAGACATTTGAGCCTTTTCTGGGCATTGGAAATGATAGGTGTTGTCTATGGATGGCATCCTATCTGATTGGTTAACAGAAGTCCCTTTTCAGTAGAGAAGTATGACTCCGTTGGATGACAGTGGCCTTTGATCCTATGTGTTTTCTTTTACTGGCTGTCTCCAGTGGTTTACAATGGGATTTATGGTAAGTTTAGGCAATAGTCCTTGACGGAGTTGGGATTCCCCGCTAGATGGGACAAGAGGGTGAGGTTCCATATCCTTGAGACAAGGCCATAGAGACTCAGCCAACTCTGTCCAAAAGAACCTCTTAGTCCTTCAGCTGGTGGGAGAAAGTGCACCTTATAGGCTATTGGGAATTACTTCCTGCCTCAGACCTAAGGAGGACAGAGCTTCTCCAAGAAGGGAGGTCAGCAGGTGGAGAGATGTCTTTCTCCAAAGGAATCCACTTGGAGACAGAATTCATAGGAATGTCTCGCCTCAGAGATCAGCAGAGGACATTTTCAGATAATATAGTTACAGAGATTACTGTGAATCAGCAGTCTGTGCCGCTGCTCCCCGCTTTGCAAAGTGGAGATAATCGCAGCATCTGCTTCCTTAAGGTGGTTGTGAAGATGAACTGAGTTAACACATGTAGGTGCCTGGACTAATGGCCAGTCATACTGTGAGCACAAAACAGTCAATCTAACAAGTATTTTCTTAGGATGTTCCACACACTTGGCATTGGCATTCAAGCAGATAATAACAGACAAGGTTCTTTTCCCTGGAGTTTTGAGACCGCTGAAAGTGTTCATCTGTTTACTCAATGAATGTGCACTGGTGCTTCCGTTCCTGACCTGTGGCCTCCTGCACGCAAAGACTCTTGAATAGAGGCCAGTATCCTGGATTCATTCTATTCTGGGACTTAGGAAAACTAGGATCTTCCCCCTTGCTTCATACTTCTTTCATTTTTCCGTTCCTTGACTCCTTTGTTTCATGGCAGACCAGGTGGTTCTCGTCCAGGAGGGATTTTGCTCGTGGGGACATTTAGCAGTGTCTGGAGACATTTCTTATCTTTATGACTAGGGCTGGGGATGACGCCACTAGCATCTAGTGTACAGAGGCCACAGATGCTGTGAAACATCCTACAACACATAGGACAGCCTCCACCACAAGGACCCATCTGGACCCAAATATCAACAGTCCCTAGGTTGAAAAACTCTGTGGTAGAATAATCATTTCCATACTAGGCACTAAATGGGAGACAGAAGACAATCAGAATGTGTTCCAGGCTCAATAGGATGGTCCTGTTCTTGGCTTCATCTAATTCTGCCCAGGTCACCAGGGAAGAAGTTTCATGGAAAGGTTGGAAGCTAAGACCTTATTGCACTGAATAAAGTGATTTTGTTTCTGAGGGTTGCCAGGGAGAGGGGGTAGGGAGAGGGTGGTGGGGTTATGGACATTGGGGAAGGTATGTGCTATGGTGAGTGCTGTGAAATGTGTAAACCTGGTGATTCACAGGTAGACCTGTACCCCCTGGGGCTAATAATGCATTATATGTTAATAAATAAAAAATTATAAGGAAATAAAATAAAGTGACTTTGTTTGAGAGAGTCAGTTTGCATCACACCCTTAGGCACCTGCTGGGAAGAATGCAGCTAGGCATAGTTTTCCAGGTTACAGGATCCAAACCAATAGATCTACCTTTTTGGCACTAGATGGGGACCCAAATAAATCAATGGTGTTCATAAATATGGTGCCCACTACTTTGTGAGAATCTCTATGTGAGACACTAACACTAGTTTTCTGTAATCACCCCAACAGTTATTTACAGATGAAGAATTTGAGGCCGCTTAGAGATAGTAAATATCCTAGTAAATGGTGAAGTTAGGATTCAGACATTGGAATCTGCCTGAGGCCAAATCTAGTGATCACCAAGAGGGTTCAACGGTCCTCAAATCAATGTAAGACATTTTTTGTTCTCAGTTAAGAAGACTCTACCCATTCTACCCAATCTGTCTCAACCAGTAAAAAGGATGCTTTGCCCTCTCAGTTCCCTGTTGTGGGGAATCTCTATCTGGGGCCATTTCTTGGTTTAATCCTAAACTCTAGGTTCAGGAAAGTCCTCTCCTGGTTTGTGCAGATCTGGCCTCCAGCATATGCTCCTGGGGCTGTTCAGAGAGCTTAGCTTTGAATAGGGCCCCTCCCCTATGTGGCTCCGTTGGTGCCCTGAGTCAGCTCTGGAGAGGCACTCAGCTCCATCTAATTTACCATAGCCTGTTCAATCCTCTCTAGCCGGTTTTTCCAAACCTGTCCTGCTGGTAATGGAGATCCTTCCCCTGTGCCATCCCCCTCGCTCCATGGCAGTATAAGTAGTTAATAGGGTGTTCAAAAGCTCTGCACCTTTTCGTGGCCAATATAGAGTTTGGTGGCCCTCATGGATCATGATGGCTGATACGTACTGAGTACTTATACCAGACACTGTTCTGAGCACTCTTAAGTGTAACATTTAGTCCCCACCAGAACTCTTCAGGAAATGTATTGTCATCATTATTACAGATAAGGACATAGAGGCACAGAGATGTAACTTGTGTAAGATCACACCATTGTGAATGATGGCAGATTTGAGCCCAGAGTCCTCTTGGACACTGCTCTGCTGCCCTTCAAAATATGGCAAGTGCCATGAAATCTGGACTTGTAGGAAGCTGGTGGTCAGTGTAGGCCTCTGAAGAGTTGACAGTTTTGATTCGAAGCCTGATTGTGAGAAGGAGTCAGGCACGTGAAGACTTGGCAAAGCGTGTACCAGGCAAGGAAGATGGCAAGTAGATTGTCTCTTACATGGATCAACAAAGGCCAGGATTTTCTTTCCCTTAAAATAGACACCACAATGAGTTTCCTAAAGAAGCTTCTTATTAACATCCCAAGTATAGGTCAATGGCCACCACCAAAGCAAGATACAGTATGTAAAATTTTATGGAGTGAGAAAGATCAGTATGAGACTGCCCAGATAGATAACGGTTTCCACACTGAGACCAGGGAGACCCATGGTCCAGCATTCCTGGTGCTAAAAGCCAAAATATAACTGAGAGGGGTAAAGTCGAATCAGTAATGTGAAATGCTTGTCACTCCTGCCCCCCTTCTTCCCAACACACTCCTCAATTTGCCTTCTCCTCCCCTGACGCTTGCTTACAGGAGTCTGTGTCCTGGAAATAGCATGTTTTCATGAGAAGTTGAGTTATTGGTTGACTATTCTTTTTCTTGCATGAACAATAGGATTTTTGGTGTGCTGCTTCAAGCTTGTCTTCAGTTCAGGGATGTTTTTCTTCTAGTAAATCATGAATAGTATTTATGTTTTGTCTTCAGATTACATACTCAGGAATACCGGCTATCAGCACTTCGGATCTCTGTTGTCTGTCCTTAGACTTGGTTATCTCACTGAGAGTAAACTCCTCTCCTGAAAAGTCTCCTCAGAGCCCTCTTCATATCCCTGTTCCTCAGACCGTAGATGAAGGGGTTCAGCATGGGGGTGACCACCGTGTACATCACTGAGGCTACTGAGCCCTTTCTGGAGGGATGAGTTGTTCCAGAAGTGAGGTAGACTCCAAGACCTACCCCATAAAACAAAGAGACAACCAAGAGGTGAGACCCACAGGTGGAAAAGGCTTTATACTTTCCTGCCACCAACGAAATGCCCATTATGCAGGAAATAATTCTATAATAAGAAAGAAGGATCACAGTCAGGGGAATAACACCCAGCAGGCCAGTTACAAAATACAGCAGGATGTCATTGGCAAGGGTGTCAGAGCAGGTAAGCTTGAGGATCTGAGTATGTTCACAGAAGAAGTGGGGGATTTCTATCTCTTTGCAGAAGGACACCCTCAAAAACATCAAGCTTTGCAACAAAGAGTATGTCAGGCAGATTAACCAAGAAACCAGAAGCAGGAGACCACAAAGGCGAGGGTTCATAATGACTGTATAGCGCAGGGGATGACAGATGGCCACAAACCGATCATAGGCCATCACCATCAGTAGCGAACTATCTAGTCCAGCAAAAATCATGAAAAAATACATCTGCGTAAGACAGCCTTCATATGTGATGGTATTGCTCTGTGTCTGGATGTTCACTAGCATCTTGAGGACAGTGGTAGAAGTGAAACCTATGTCAGTGAGGGACAGGTTGGAGAGGAAGAAGTACATGGGTGTGTGGAGGCGGGAGTCAGAGTTGATGGCCAGGATGATGAGAAGGTTCCCAAGCACGGTGACCAGGAACATGGATAGGAACAACCCAAAGAGGAAGGGATGCAGGTCCATATCTTCTGAAAGTCCCAGAAGGATGAATTTCAAAACCACTGTTTGGTTCCCAGCTTCCATACGACTTATGGAAATTGCCTGGAAAGAGGCAATGTTAAAACAATGACAAAAGAAGAATGTGCCATTATATTTCAAACTCATGAGGTCTTGTGTCTTACATAAGAGTTGTGGTTGTGATTTCTTTAGTTGACCAAAATCTCTTCAATAACACCCTCCCCTTCCTGTTTTTATCACTACTACCAGGATCACCTCTTTAAAATGAATGTCCCGGGGCAGCCAGTAGGCTTAGTTGGCAGGGCATGGGTCACTTGATCTTGGGGTTATGAGTTCGAGTCCCACATTGAGTGTGGAGATAGCTTAAAAATAAAATCTTAAAAAAATAAAGTAAGGGGCTCCTGGGTAGCTCAGTTGGTTAAGCATCTGCCTTCAGCTCAGGTCATGATCTCAGGGTCCTGGAATTGCACCCTGCATCGGGGGCAGAAGGTAGGCTCCCTGCTGAGCCCAGCCTGTTTCTCCCTCTGCCTGACACTTTACCTGCTCATTCTCTCTCTCAAATAAAGAAGTAAAATCTTTTAAAAATTAAAATAAAACAAAACAAAATAAAAAAATAAATGTTCCATACCATGTGGGGGTCTCCTCTGTATCATCCCCCATGCATGGGTGTCCCACCTCTGCTGTATAACTCCTATGAGAGGACCATTAGCCTCATAAGCATCTCCATTCTGCCTTGTGTCTGTGGTCTCTTCAAGTTCATGGAAACAGAGAAGAAGAAGATCATCAAGACTTGCAGAATTTAGTAATATTTTTTGTTCTCATGCCGCTAACCAGTGTGTGCCTGGTATCTTATTAGTATCTAGGAACAGCACATTCTCTGTGCTGTTTGGTTCAGATAAGGATGCTGTGCAAAGATTTTATAGATAATTCTTTAATTATTACAGTAACTCCTCCATTGCTGTCCTAATTTGTCCCTCTGTCACCATCATAATGATCAAGGTACCACAATATGCTTCAATTCCAAAGAGTAAATCAGACACCCTCCCCACCCCCGAACCATACATTCTAACTATTCTCTGCAAGTTCGTATTGTAGTTCCTTCCATTTCTTTAGGTTAGGAGAACTCTGCCTTTTCTATTTCATTTTCATTTTATATCCCAAGCCCTTAACACAGTACCTGGTGCTCTCTGTATATTTTGGTTGAGTGAGTAACAGAAGAAATTTTCAGGGTATAGTAAAGACAATTCCCTATCATAAAATCCTCTAACCAGGAAGAGACACCATTTATCATGAAGGTTTTCCAACTGAACATAAAGGGAATGCAGACCCTACCTTTTATTTCACCTGTTAAAAAAAAAAAGTAAGAAGCCTTAGTTTATGTTTGGATATTAGGTCGCTGTGACAGGAGGGAGTTTCTGGACTCAGAGGCAGTTGTCTTCAATTTTATATACATTCAAAAAATGTATACAAAGTTCCTAAGCAGTATAGTGAAAGATTATAAAGAATTAGATCAGTTGTTTAAAGTATATACAATAAATTATGGTTTTATCAATAAAACCAAATGATAGGGTGCCTGGGTAGCTCAGTTGGTGGGGCGTCTACCTTCAGCTCAGGTTGTGATCCTGGGGTCCCAGGATCGAGCCCTGAAACGGGGCTCAGTGGGGAATCTGCTTCTCCCTCTACCCCTCACCTTCACCCCACTCATGTTCTCTCTCTCAGGTAAAGAAATAAAATCTTTTTAAAAAAATAATACCCTATGACCCTGCAATTGCACTACTGGGTATTTACCCCAAAGATACAGATGGAGTGAAAAGAAGGGCCATCTGTACCCCAATGTTCATAGCAAATGGCCACGGTCACCAAACTGTGGAAAGAACCAAGATGCCCTTCAATGGATGAATGGATAAGGAAGATGTGGTCCATATACACTATGGAGTATTATGCCTCCATCAGAAAGGATGAATACCCAACTTTTGTATCAACGTGGACAGGACTGGAAGAGATTATGCTGAGTGAAATAAGTCAAGCAGAGAGAGTCAATTATCATATGGTTTCACTTATTTGTGGAGCATAAGAAATAACATGAAGGACATGGGGAGATGGAGAGGAGAAAGGAGTCGGGGGAAATCAGAGGGGGAGATGAACCATGAGGGACTATGGACTCTGAAAAACAATCTGAGGATTTTGAAGGGTCAGGGGGTGGGAAGTTGGGTGAGCCTGGTGGTGGGTATTATGGAGGGCATGTATTGCATGGAGCACTGGGTGTGGTGCATAAACAGTGAATTCTGGTACACTGAAAAGAAATTTAAAAAAATAAAAAATTAAAAAAAAATTTTTTTAAATCATCACACACACAAAAAATAATAATACCAAATGGCATTAAAAAGCAAATTAAAGTCTGAGAGAGGGAAAAATTATAAGGAAATATAAAAGTACAGTTTAATATAATAGAAAACTTTTAAAAACAGTATGAATTTATTACCCTCAACACCCAAAAAACAACCCAGTTAAAAAATGGGCAGAAGACATGAATAGACATTTTTCCAAAGAAGACATCCAGATGGCCAACAGACACATGAGAAGATGCCCAACATCACTCATCATCAGGGAAATACAATCAAAACTGCAAAGAGATACCACCTCACACCTGTCAGAATGACTAAAATCAACAACACAGGAAACACCAGGTGTTGGTGAGAATGTGGAGAAAGGGGACACTCTTATATTGGTGGTGGGAATGCGAACTGGGGCAGCCACTCTAGAAAGCATTATGGATGTTCCTCAAAAAGTTAAAAATAGAGCTACCCTATGACCCAGCAGTTACAACACTGGGTATTTACCCAAAGGATACAAAAATACTGATGCAAAGGGACACATGCCCCCTGATGATTATAGCAGCATTATCAACAAGAGCCAAACTATGGAAAGAGCCCAAATGTCCATTGTCTGATGAATGGATAAAGATGTGGTGTATACATACACTGTGATATTACTCAGCCATAAAGAGAATGAAATCTTGCCATTTGCAACAGCGTGGATGGAGATACAGTATATTACACTAAGTGAAAAGGCAGAGAAACAAATACTGTATGATTTCACTCCTATGTGGAATTTAAGAAACAAAACAGATGAATATGGGGAGGAAGAAAAGAGAGAGGCAAACCGTGAAACAGACTCTTAACTATAGAGAACAAACTGAGGAGGTTGGGGGATGGGCTAAATGGGTAATGGGCCTTAAGGAGGGCACTCGTGATGAGCACCGAGTGTTGTATGTAGATGATGAACCACTGAATTCTACATTGAAAACTAATATTACACTGTACGTTAACAGGGATTTAAGTAAAAACTCAAAACTACAAAAGAACTACAAAATAAAAAAATAAAAGCAGTAAGAAAAAATGAAAAGGTTATATCATCGAAAAAAAGAGTTATGTATGAGACTGTTGATAGCATTGCTGTTTACGGTTCTCTAGAATCACTGTAGAGTCTCCTGTTCGATCACATTATTTAGAATATTGGCATCCGAGTTCTGCTGTTGGAGTAGAATATTTGTCAGGTGTTGCCAAGTTAGAGTACGCTGTTGGAAGTATTGCTGTCAGACATAATGTTTATAGTAGTGCATATTTTCAAAACCTAAATAGGACAGTTAGGAAACCTTAACTAACATAACCAAGTGTCCATGGTAGAGTGGAACGTAGAAAGAACAGAATGAAATGGGAAGACTAAAGACACATTCACATAGAACAGGGGCCATCCAGAGGTGAATTGTAATGGAAAGAAACTCACCAGATTGTCCACCTTGCTTTTCCTGAGAGGTAAGAGAATAGGTGCCTATTTTCTTTTTTTTCCCTCTTTTTCTATGTCTTCTTAGTTTTCCATAATGAGCATATATTACTTTATGATTATAAAAAAAATTATGGAGAAATATATTCATGTATTTGAGCAGATTTCAGGATGGCCCCTTCTTCTCCCTGTTCCCCTGGGCAGGTCAGTAATACAGTAATCCCTGAATAAAAGATAGTGTGAGCCATTATGCCAGGTGGAGAGAGGGAATGGAGTTTGGAAGAGGGAAGAAAAGGGAAAGCAGGAGTAAAAGAAACAAAAATCCAGAGATGAAACAAGGGGAAGAAGCTATAAAATAAGGATTCTCCAGAAACACAGAACCAACAGATCTGCGACCAGTATTTATAGGTAGAGCCTGAAGGCCTGAGAACCAGAGCTGCTGGCGTGGTTTCCGGTCTGAAAAGCCTGGCAGGCTTGAGTTTTGCAAGGGGGCAAGCCAGCCTGAAGGCGGTAAGACAGACGGAATGATCTCTTACTCGGCCTTTTTGATCTCTACAGGCCTGCAGTAGCTCTGATGAGGCCCACCCACATCAGAAAGGGCAATCTTCTTCACTCTGTCTAGGGGTCTGAATGTCCATCTCCTGGACAGAAATACCCTCACACACACATATACCCAGAACTGACCAAATATTTCCCATCACAGAAGCGTATGTATTGTATCTGATGATTGCAACTAAAAGGTAACAGCCTGCAGAACTAAAACCTCTCCACTGGGATGCAACATTAATGAGTCTGATGGTGAACTGGGAGTAATGTTCACTGTCTGCAGGCCAGTGATGGAAGGCAGACGTGCTGATGACTCCGGCAAAGTGTTGGAGATCCTTGCTTTGATTCTGAATATGTGCTCTCGGTTGTGGTGGTGGTGGTGGGGTGTGCATGTGGCAGGCATGCAGAATGAAAGATCTGATTTAGGGCCGATTCTTCAGATGTGAGAAGAATATAATTAGCCTAGCTGACAAATGAAAATTTGATTTCTTTGGGACTCCATGGATAGTAGGGGCATCTGAGACCTTCCATGCAATAGAACATGAGGAGTCAGGAATGGGTAAGGATGACTGTGATGCAAAACTTATCCTGAAGATCGGTATTTCGGGAGAATCTGGCTGTCTTTGGTATCAAAATGGCAACAAAAATTTTCACTGAACACCTTCACTCACCAGTGGGGCTTTAATTCAGGTCCTTATAGCTTCTCATATGGGTCACACATGGGCTGGCACCCTCCTTGCCCA